TCACACCATCTCGTAATCAATGGAAAGGGAGATTCATATAGTCAAATCTTAAACTAATCAGCTGAAAAAAAAAAAAAAAAAGAAAAAACAAAAAACAACTGCAAAAGAAAAAAAACAGCGAATTCACGCGGGGACACCTGTCCAATAGTCTTATACAAGTCGAGCTTATTGACATTTGGGCACTTTTCATGATAATGAGCTTTTTTCATTAGAGGATCAAAAATTATTTTTACTTAACCAAGTGGTTTAGGTGAGTATTTTGGTTACCTCTGTTCGACGACATTAATGAAAAAACTGATCACTAAACCTGTTGTCCAATAGTGTCCTTTGTTTACACTGTTATTATTGCTTTTTAGACCACTTAAGCTAATCTCGCTGACTTGCTTTGAGATTGAGGGAGCGACAGCGCATTCAATTATTTTCAGCTGTTCATAGTTAAATTAATTTAAAGTATTGGTGAACCTAGCAACTAAAAAGAAATGTTCTTTTTATGCAGAATAACACCTTACTCATTTTATTGATGCATATTTTAATTGCTTCTTCTCAAATGAACTCCCACATGAAACTGATAAAAGCACTTTTAAGAATTAAAACTCGCAAAGGCAAACAAGTTGAAAGGCAATTCAATGGCGTTTCTCCACATCGTCGCCAGTTGGGGTTCTTTTTTAACTCATGTTGTTGTTATACATTTTGTATTGAGTTGCGTCAGCTCCTGTAGATTGGAGATATATACTTCTTTGTTTAGCTAACCAGGTTGAACACGTTAAACAACTTTCATTTTTATTCTGATTTGTCATTCAGTAAGCCGCMCGCTTATGTCAAATAAKGAAAATCGATATCTGGCACAAAATTACGATAAGAGCCAATTATTTTAAGGTTCCTAAAGAGTTACAATTTTACTTTTTTATGAGTTGATCTTTTCTTGGAATCGTCTTTCTCATTAAGAAGCCTTCTTTTACTTATTTCACTTCTTTGTCTAACTATTTGTTGCCGAAAATCACTGATTTAATCACCTTTAGATTGCGAGATCTGTAATTTGCATCTTTATTATATAGCCACATATTAATCCCAAATAGGTAAAAGCTGGATTTTCCGTTAATTTTGGAATCCTGTCCAATTAAGAAATTAATTGGACAGGTTTTCAATTGGGTTTTTTTGTTAAAAGCTGTGGTTGGCTTTTACCTATTTGGGATCAATATGTGGCTATATAATTAATAGGTAATAAGACTCCATGCTGTCCAATTAAGAAATAATTAGACTCGAAAAATTCCTCTGACTGCCAAATTGGACTCGGCCACGGCCTCGTCCAATTTTTGGCAGTCCTCGGAATTTTCCTCGTCCAATTATTTCTTAATTGGACAGCATGGAGTCCTATTACATATAAAAATAGCAAACGTTGTCGACGACGTTTGCTTTGTGCATACTTTGCATGTACGAATCAAATGTTATAGCTCCATCGTACAGCGTTTTTTATAGTTTCATAATATGGAGGGAAAACTGAATTCTAATTTAACTAATGACGCCTTCCAAGTGAATGCATCTAACTTCAGGCATCATGATCTATATTCTGAAAATGTTTTCTACGATTTGATTCCTGTGAAAACTGCAGCCTACTGCCTTCTCCTGTTGGTATCTGTTCTTGGTAACATCTTCATTATAACAACTGTTTGCAAAGATGAGCGACTAAAAACTACTACAAACTTTTTGGTGGCTAACTTGGCAGTCAGTGATTTCATAGCATCATTTTTCCTAGTACCATTACAGCTTACTCGGTTATATTTTGGAAAGAAATGGTTCATTATGGGGGAATTCGGAGACGCTTTATGTAAACTAAGTATCTTTATTCCCGACACTTCAACRTCAGTTTCGTTTTACAGCTGCGTTTTCATCGCCTTTGATCGATAYCTCGCTGTTGCTCATCCACTGAGAGGAGGCTTTAGCAGGTCTCGGCTAAAGTACATCATACCAGGGATWTGGATCTTTTCAGCACTGAATGTGTCTCCCTACTTTTATTCTTTTAAGTTAGTTACCTCTCATAATTCACATTTCTGTTTCTATGAGGACGAAAGGTTTTTAAAGGCTCACTTTTATTTCCTTGTCGTAGTTAACTTTGTTATTCCAATGCCGATCATAACAACTTTGTATTCAATGATCGTGTACAAGCTTCGTCGTCATAAAGCCCCAGGAAATACAACAGATGTTGCATTAGAAAGAAGACGGCAGCAAAACAACAAAGTGACGAAAATGTCCATAACTATTGTCAGCCTGCAATTCTTGAGTTGGGCATATTTCAGTGTTATTGTAATTTTATCATGGGAAGGTATCATGATAAAATCCCGTATCCTTAGCGATATTGTTTACTTTTCCGGTAATTTTATAGTTGACATGAGTTATTCTTATAACTTTTTCATCTATTTGGTCTTTAATGGTATATACCGTGAAAATTTTAAACGAATAATATCCAAGTGCATCTGTAGAGGTGCTTGTAGTGCTGTGGTGGTAAGGCCTGACATTGCAGGGATCGAAAATTCTACGTGTAATGGTGGAGAAGACCAGACTCGTACACTTCACATGGAAACTTTGAACCCTTCATAAACTTAGGATTTGGTCGGACCACAGAGCCTTATGAGTTCCTAGAGTGACATGGTAGCATTATTCTGACAACCAATTTTTATGGAAGGAAAAAGGATTGCTTTTCAACAACAAACCTTTGAGGGGATAGAATGTTCTAGATATAAATTCAAAGAAATTTAGAATAGAACAATAAAAAAGAGAAACACCGGACCTTTAAAGCTTATGGTCCAAACCGCCCGAACCCCCCAGCCTACGGTCATGAATATCACAATTTCAGAGATTGGTCTTGAAGTAATGTTTAAAGTCCGACAATGAGGACTGGACGGGGTTTCAAGTCCGCGCAATTAGTTCCAGTCCGACGCGTTCCGTCCAGTCCGAATTGGAGGACTTTGAACGACTTCTAATACTCATTAATTATTCGGGAGGGGAAAAAAGCGAAGGAAATACATATAACAGAAATATATTGATTTATTGCATCTCCACCAAGGTTTTCAGTTTTCATAATTTTATTTTTTGAATAAAGAAGCACCGTTTGTTGTTTTCCAATTCCCGAACGGCTTTCTGAAACAAAAGCTTTTCAAATTGTCTTTGTTTGCTTYTCATGGCATTCCTAATGAGCCTAATTCATAAGTTTTATGTAGTAAGTATGTTATCTTCCAAGGAATCGCATCATAAACTCGGTGGTGTAATGGTTTAAGACGGCGCATATAGATTGGACGGTTCGGGGTCGTTTCGTGAGGGAGTCATTTATCAAAGACCTTTTTTCACTAAATTAATTCTATATTAAGTTGATTATTTCTAATACTTTGATTATCATTAGCTAGTAGTAGTTAGAAAAAGCTAGAAGTAACTAGAATCAAGGTAAGAGTAACTGGAAATAAGATAGAAGTAACTAGAAACAAGGTGGAAGTAACTGGAAATAAGATAGAATACAAGGTAGGAGTACTTCCTCTGGTATCCAGTCACTGCACGTGGTACAAATTACAATCAGGGATTGGCTAGATACCTCATGAATAATTAATGAGTATGAGAAACGACTTTCAATAGCGATATTTAAATACACGCGAACATTCAACAGTATCAATAGACAATCAACTAAACGACTGGACAATCATTTGGGTGGAACGTTATTTCATGTGCGCGCAATGAAAATTCAATAGCACCAAATGAAACTTCATTAGTTCTATTAGCATAAACATAGGCAATATATAGCGCGTTTGGACAATCATAGCCATTCGAGAATACATTCTTTAGTGCGTTTTGACAATCAGTGCGTTTTGACGTGTTAAATCCCCCTTTATAGCAAATTTCTTTTTTCAGTATGAACACTAAGAAACATTTCTTCTAAAACAACTGGTTCTTGCAGTGGTTTCTGTGCTGTTGATAACATGGTCCGTATTGATGTACATGGAAGTGCAGCCATTATTGCAGACATTGTCATCTGTCTGTGTACCAATGGTGCCGACTTCTTTATTTTGTAGACAACTGGTTGACTAATCATGGCACAGTTCTCTTCTGTTGAGCTCTAAAATGGTACAAGCAGTGATTTCGTAGGAATATAAGATTTGCAATCTGACGTATTTTATTAAAATGTTAACGCATGCCGATCCTGGCCGCTGAGGACTGAGTCTGTACCTATACTTTCCACTTCTTTAAAATAAGTATACCAAAATCGAGTGCTTTTCGTCAAAAGTTGTGTAAAAAGATAAATTAAACGGGAGCAACTATCGAATACCCCGCAAAAAAAAGCTTGATATGAACGAAGGCTACGGCTACGGGTCAAAATAAATACATTCCACTTCCTGTATTCATAGAAAGAAGTAAAGACTGTGACCTGTCTTCCTGTGTATCTTACATAAGGAATTAAAGACTATGACCCGTAGCCGGCTACATGGCTACACCGGCTACGGGTCAAAATGAAGTGACCGGAATTCCTGTGTCTTTTATAGAACGAAGTATACACTATGACCCGTAGCTGGCTACATGGCTACACCGGCTGGAAAATAGACCAATAGTAGGCATGGTAACGTGAAATAAACAAAAAAGCAAAGGAAGTGTTAGACAAAAGGACAATAAAGGTGCTAAAAAAGGGAACAAAGGATAAAAAACGTATCTGAAAACAAAGCGTTCATTCAATATAGAGGATAAGCAGAACAAATTGCATATGTTACTGCCTTTTGCATTCCATTGTGCATCTACAATTTGAATGAAGCCGCAAAGCATGGGGGAAAAAATTCCCATAAAGGATACCAGGCTTTTTTTGCTTAATTGGGGCTCGTAGGTTTCACATTCAGATTACTTAATGCCATGTACTATGACGGATTGGTCTTCTTAACAATGAAAGTTAAAATGAAATATATTTCATTTTTGAAATATAACAATTAAATATTAATTGACTTTTCAAATTAACTACTTCCAATCCGGCTCCACTCATATTTAGCACGTTTTAATTATGTAATTACCTTTTTGACAGAGGCTAGCTAAATAAGGAAAACAGATTTTTTGCTTTGCGGCATTATCGTACGGTGAATCTTCCGTTTTATCGATGTCTTCATGTGTCTAGATCTTGCTCAACGTATGCAAACGCGTTTTCAACACATACACAGGAAGCACAGAAATGCGGGATAGCAGAAAAGGCGGTAAAAAGCAGATATAGGACTGAGAGCCGTGATACCCGTTAAGCACGATATATGAGACAGCTTGAATGAAAAATGCTATCAAAATTGAAAAGAAATCAACAAAAAATAATAATCTTTTTAGAAAAAAATCTAAAAATCTGATGTCAAAATCAAACTAAACTTTCAACTCATCAAAATGGGGGATGGCTTATCACCACCCCTAAATCCGCCCCTGTTGACACATCAACCAATTCTATACACTGYTTTTTTCAGAGGTTTTATTCCATTTCTTCGTCCCAAGACCTGTATCCTGGCGAAATTCATGTGACAGTTGCTGTCGTTAAGTTCACAAAACGAGGTATTCTCCGAAAAGTAACGCTGTTAAGTGARTCCAAAAAGACATGATCATTAACATACTTTCATGTAACATTTATCATTCAAAGAAGGCCAAGGTCCCGTCYATCATGGCGTGTGTTCAACATGGCTGGAAAGTTTGGCYCCAGGTGACATTGTTCCTTGCTTTGTCAGGCAGTAAGTGTAAACCGTACCTAATAAGATGAGATCGGCTAGAGTTCGTCTATTAGAAGGGTCAGCGTTAAATAYAACAAAACACTCTAATGGTATAGACTATATCTTATCTACTATCATGTAAATAACTCGCCTTAAAACTCAAGCAATTTGGGGTTTACTTTGTCGAATTTAGAACTTAATTGTATCGACTATTTTTCATTTCAGTGCACCATCATTTCATCTTCCCGAGGACAGCTCSGTCCCAATCATCATGGTTGGACCTGGGACTGGTATCGCACCTTTCAGAAGTTTCTGGCAGCAGAGGCAGTATTGTGTTGCTAAGAAACAGCCACCGCAAGGAAACTGGGGTGACATGCATTTATATTTTGGGTGTCGTAGTTCTAAACATGATGATATATACCATGACGAAACCGCTCAAGCTGTGCAAGAAAACGCACTGACTAGAGTTCGCACTGCACTGTCGAGAGAGCCTGGKCAACCTAAGGTGAGTTTCTTGTGATCAATCAATTTCTTGAGGATTAATGGCGGCCATGTTGATTGGAAGAGTGTTCGCTTGTGAGAACCCTTTCCATCAAACCAAACGTTTTTCGTCCCAGCAAAGGGCGGGGTGTTTGTGTGGTTTTGTTTTTGCGTAACAGTTAAGCTGTTTTGATTTTTCCAATAGTGCTACGTACAAGACGTTCTAAGASAAGACGCAATCGACATCGTAGACATACTAATCGCTAATCAAGGACACTTTTACACGTGTGGTGACGTCTCCATGGCAGCAGATGTWTGCAGAACGTTACAGGTGAAATCTCATATCAAACTTCCTATCAAAAATCCCGGTGCATCACCGGAAAAGGTTTATGTAATACATTAACTATTAAAACTTTCAGACATTGCTTGAGTCGTACGCTGCGATGTCACAAACAGAAGCACAAGACTTTATAGACAAACTCAAGGTCAGTATTCAGCGGCTATTTTTCTCAACTCAAAACCTTAGTATAAAAGAAGTTACCTCGCTCTTGCTTTCACTCTATGTAGAATTTACAAAGTATTACACAGGAAAACCAACTTTGTACTTGTTATTATAATGCTTTGTAATTGTAAGGAGCTTGAAGGGTTTTGTACTGTACTGGCGAGGGAACTACAGCCTCCGCTCTATTACCTTTCTATCAAGTCCGATGCTCCAATGTTTCCTTGCTTAAATGATCAGTTTTTCCAATCTCTTGAAAATGTTGYAMTTCACGATCGTGGTATTGTGTTCAAATRCTATAAATAAACGAGTCTTATATTTGGCAGAGTTCTGGYAGATACCACGAGGACATCTTTGGAGTAACACTGAGAACGCGTGAAGTGACCGACCGGGTCAGACACGCAGCGAGAAAGTAAGTACCGGGTGGTACCCGTATAGACCTCGGAGATTTAACAATGCATGTTTTCAGCTTATTCTGCAGATTCGTCTTGTTAMAAACTCAAACCGGGTCATTCTCTAAGAAGTATTGTTTCTTTTTTTAGGGCGTGGGCTTACATTGCTACTTCTAAGTCTGTTAAGGTACACATTTTCATCATTTCCCAGCATGCATTAWGTGCCATAAGGCATTAGATGCGGCTGCTTTCGCCTTGTTCCTKGTGGATCAACAGGCTTATCTTTCTTTCTCTACTGTCATCCTTCATATATTCATTAGCTTTCCTGCGTACATATTTCATTTAACAGCAAATGAAAGGAACGCGTTAGTAGACGACTTCTGATTTGCGCGTGCGCTTTAAAAATTATTGCGGGAGTGCACCTGAAAACAAGGTATTTCCGGATACAAATAAAGGGAGGTCCTCAACTACGGTCGTCTGCGATATTATTGAAAATAAATGATAACAACAACAAATGCAAACGCCGGGCGGGAAAAAAGAAATTTTTGACGCGCGCGAGCGTGTTTTGATACTGTAATCAAACATGGTAGTATCCTAAATATTTTAGAAACACAAATATTGCTATGGTGAAATTATTTATTAGAGAAAAGCGCGCAACTTCTTCACGATTCGTTATATCTATCAAGAAGGGACAGGAGAGGTTGACGTCGATGCACCAAGTAAATTTGCCCTAATTGCGAATCTCACCCAAACCGCTAATCGTCGGCCATGACCGCTCTAATATAGTGGAAAGGGGAGGTAAATGAGGACAGCGGCAGTATCCTCCATTAAGTTACCTCTCAATGGGATCAAGACAAGGCAGCTAATCATTTTAATTTGTGTTGACCGTTGTTCATCTCGACATAAAAACGACGTATACCGCGCGTTATCATCGGTCACCGTTCAATAACTAACTGATATAAGTACAACTAACTCTCTCCCACAGAAAGTTAGCTGGGTAGCTGAAGGAACAGATAGTCAAGATGGCGTAAGACATTTTAATAACCTTTCACAATTTAACATGATTAATACTTATTCATATTGCATGAGTTAAATCRGTTAACATTATAACTAACTCATAAACATATATCTTGCATGATATCATGATGAAGGGTGTAGCATGTATGACACAATAAGTTGTAAAAATAACTGAACGATGGAAATAAGACCTGTGTTACGAGGTTGGGTAAAAATGAAATAACTGCAATTGCGTGAATCACCGCTCAGCACAGAGCTCATAAGATTAGAGTCCTAGGAAGATTCTCAATAGGAGTCGGCTAGGTTCATAGTAGACTATACTAAGAGAGACTGCGAGTTACATGAAGAAAAGGCTTTCACTGCTTTCCACTTGCACGATCGATTTAATGTTTTAAATRTTRTTKAGATGGTTGCATGAAGGAAAATTCTGCTTATGTGCAATCAAAACTATGCTTATATGGAAACACTGTGCACGAGGTTTAATGCATGTTATCTATGCATGCATGGAAAATACGGAAATAAATATAAATACATGCATGAATATCTMGTGAATCTAGCATGAAATAAACTAGATTCTTGTGCATGAGGGAAATCCTAAAAAWTTGTATTTTCATATTCATTCCTTTTTTATTTTAGCGTAAAAAGCAACACAAGAAATTCCCGTTGGATCGTGGTCCAACCGTAACGGTCTTAATGCGAACAGATTCCGAGGTTCAAGAAGAAATCGTCACGTGAGTGTTACGTACTCTGCATGCGATTTATGCGTTCGTAAAAATGTTTTGCATGTTTAGCTTTCTCACCATCATGATCATGATCATCATCATCATCTCTAGTTCTATAATCAATCATCATCGGAATATTGTGRTCCACTCTCAATTACTATTTATATACAGTTACTTTTCAAGTTTTAAGTTAGGTAGCGCTGTTCCAGTTCATCCACCTTAGCGTAAAACGAACGCATGATGCGTAAATTTCTTACGTACACTTTTGACATTTCATTCTCATGTTTCCCCTGCTGTTTATAGGAACGAGATAAAAAACAGACGACGGTCGTCTCTTCCGGATGCTACACGCGATTGACAGCAAAACACACTGGCAAGTTCAAGATGAACTTCTTGTCCAGGCAAACCATTCCTAGTAAATGACATTCCAGGGACTTGAAATGACATTAGTTAATAATATCAAAATAATATAAAGATATTTCAATGATTAAAATGGCAAGTTCGGCCACCAACCCTTTGCGATATATCAACAAAAAAATATTTAATTGCGAAAACAATATCTGAAGAATTCCAGAGAAATATTGTGTCTGAGCTAAAAAAATTCATCTCGACTTGCAATGCGTTTTCGCAGCATTCGTTTTCTTTCTTGTCTTTGTATTTTGATCGGGAATTCTAGGATGATTGACTGAAATGAAAAAATGTCTCGAAAACGCAGAATAGATCGATCGATAGCATGTTGTAACGTTGAACCGAAAACTACTAAACAATGATAGCCAATTAAAYAAAAGCGTAGAGGTCACTAATAAATGACTTTATTAAATACAGGACTTTATTCAAGTCCATCAAATTATCTCATCTTTTTCAAATGTATTGCCTATAATATATGAGAAAATCGCCGTGTGTTAGTTGTAGCTTTTTCAAATGTGTAGCCCTAAGATTGTAATGCTAAACTTATCAAGCTTTGAATTAGTTCGAAACAAAATTTGGTACGTTTAACGACGTAGCTATGACAACGCAAACATCAAAATAGCGTACATTGTATTTTCGTTATTTGCAATATACAAATATTGYTTACAAATGGAATTTCTTGAATGATAATTCCTGATAATTCATATATCCTATGACGAAGATACTATCAATGAATATTATAGAAAATTCATTATAAATGACCATGCAGTGCATGATCTGCTCAATAACATATTTACARCAATTGTAATACTAAGAGCAAAATAACTGCCCTAGGAAATAATATACTATAATAAACAGCTAAAAAATTGATGATTGTACGTTTCAAATCTTCCTCAAACAATAAATATGAATAAAGATATCATGAGCTCTTATTACATTCCTTGCGTGATTCAGGCTTATTTTAATATTAGAAACAAAGAAAACTGAATAGATTACACGGTTTTGAGCAACCTAAAACTCAAAATATTAGAATTTCAAAGGCTTTTCGAACCGCACGAAAGGTTTATTGACGAAAGGAAATGATATTTCTTGGGWCACGTGACACCTTTTCYTGGAAAAATCCAAATTGTTTTRATATTGCRTAATTCTTCAAAGACGCGAATTTTATAGAAAAATGAAAAAGCGAGTAGCAATAATTGGCGCTGGTGCAGCTGGATTAACGTCTATTAAGAACTCACTCGAAGCAGGTTTTGAACCCACGGCATACGAAAAAAGTTCTTGGTTAGGCGGCCTTTGGTATTACACCGAAGAAAACCACAGATACCGTGTTGCRCCCAAATCGACGRATTTCATTACAAGTAAACACTTCTCTTGCTTCAGCGACTTTCCATTTCCCAAAGAGACGCCAAATTACACACCAAGGCACGTATTCCATCAGTATTTAGAATCTTACGCCCAGAAGTTTGATCTTACTAGAAGAATACGCTTCAACACAGAAGTCTTGAAGGTAGAGAAATGTAAAGATTATGAAGATACAGGTAGATGGGAGATCCATTCAAAGATGTCTGGTGACAGTGGAAAAGAGAACGTTTGTATTGAAGAATTCGACTATGTGATGGTTTGTAGTGGGGTTTTTGTCAAGCCATTTATACCTAAGATAGCTGGTATAGATGACTTTACGGGTCGAATGGTTCATAGCAGAGAGTACAGGACGTTCACTCCGTTCATTGGTAGGCGTGTTGTTGTGGTAGGAATTGGAAATACAGCAGGTAAAAACCTCGTATTTTATTTTACTCTACTGACTCTACTTTACTTACTGTTGTCACTATTTGTTCGTACTACTGATATATAGTTGTCTACGGTTCTAGCTGAATGCTTGCTTGCTCAGTGCTTAACAAAGCAATTTTTCACAACGATATGCAGCTCGTTCCAAAAMATTATTATTGAGCAATGTTTAACTGAAAACTAAGCAAGCATTTAATAACAACTGAATACAGCTATAATATAGCTAAAAATATAACTGTAGCTACAAATCTTCTCGTGTAACGCCCCCTGAACATCAGCTACGCGTTAGGGCAAATCCAAGCAATGCGATGCGAGAGTATTTTGTGTGATATATTGAAATTTTAATGAAATTAATTACTCGAAATCACTTAGGCATATCTATAGTGTGACGCATATA